GGATTAGTTACCTTGCTATTGTGTTGTAAAATATATTTTGTGAATTCAATTAAAGGGGTACGCACTCAAACAATAAAAAACACCCCATTCCTTAATGTTCTATTTACACTAGAAAATTGTTTAACAAACCCTTTCATAAATTAGAAGAGATGAGAAAATTAAAACAGGCCAAGAAAATGAATATGAAAATTTCAAATCATGTGTCTGTTAACAGTTTCCTAGGTTTTTTATTTTATTTTAGGGTTTTCAAGACAGGGTTTCTCTATAGCTTTGGAGCCTGTCCTGGAACTCATTCTGTAGACCAGGCTGGCCTTGAACTCACTGAGATCCACCTGTCTCTACCTTTCAAATCCTGGGAGTAAAAGCGTCTGCCATCACTACCTGGGCCAGTTTCCTAGTTTTACCCAATGAGTCCTAGAAGGCACTGCAAATGTTTTTCATAAAGAAATTATGTGGTCATTAGAACCAACTAAAGCAGATAAGAGTTGGTCTTTTGGAGATAGTTTAATTCAACAAATATTTGTGATATAAATTATGTTATATCAAAATATTATCATGTTATCTTTTATATCATGATAGAAATCACTCCGTATCTCATTCCTGCCATCCAACTGCTTGCCATTGCATTTAAGACTTCTTTTCTTGGATTGCCTGGCACCTACCTATAGGTTCAATTCCGATTCCTACCTTTCTCCTTACACACTATACCTATGATAAATATTGTCCACCCTTCAGAATATATTGATGTTACTCTCCAGGATGCTCTGTTGGACCAGCTCCATTATCACCTCTCATCCCCCTGTTCACCACTACAAGAAAACCTGTTGCTACACCCTATCTTAAGAAATGTTGTCTTCCCCAGAGACTCTGTTATCAACAAGCTAAATTGTTTTGCTTTGCAATGTTAAAGTTCATAGTCATTTGTTTCTATGTTCTCTGTATAGAACTATAATACACTAGAATATATATTACAACAGAACAGACATCATCCTGCCTCCTGTTTCTATTTCTCAAGCATCCGATAGAATGTTCTCAATAAATGTTTTGGACGTTCCCATTTCTACAAGGCAGCAATAACAGTCTTCTGCTGTTGCTGGGGACTTCCATTCTCAAAAGGAAGAGATACAGAAGCAGAATCCACATGCAGGAAGAACGGAAGATGCAGAAACCAGTAAATGGTAACAAAATGCCCTGAAAACAGAGTGGTAATGATTCATAGCAATAACAAAACTCACAGCTTTCACCTCCAAGAGAGTAAGAGTCTATTATGGATTCAAATATGAGTGACCATGGGCCAAGAACACAGATTCAGGTCACCAAAAATACAATGTCCCAGATGCAGAAACACCTTCATGCCCAAGTTTTTATACGAACACAAGCAAAGTCATAAATAAAGTACTTTTAAAAAATACTTTAGTGTTAACATCAGGTAGGGACTTACAGCACAGCAAGGGAATGTCAGCTATAGGCCTCACACGTTCTCTCAAGGCATTTGTAGCCATTGGATTGGTGGAAAATGGGGTGTGTTTAAAATGAAAAGGCCACAAAGAGGTGCACAATGAATGGCTACTAAGGAGACAAAAGATAACCCAAGACAATTTTTGTTTCCAGCCTATAACTCTTCAGTTCTCTATGATCAGTCAATCAGCCGTGTTGAATATTTAACTCAGTGGTAGCTATTTTCTAAGAATATGAGTTCATAGTATCAGTAATCTTCATAGTATGGTGGAAAAGATGAAGTGTGAATTGGGTCATAAAACACGATAAGCATACCCAGAGCTAAGGCTTGGAATCTGCAGAGTGATGGAGCATTTAGAGAGGTAAGGCCTGGGCTATGAGGCACATGAGAGCCAAGGCTTTGAAAATGGGTTAGGGGATGGGCACAGAGTAAAAAAATGCTTTCTGAGACGGTAGGACCAGCCTTTAAGGATCCTCAGGCAGTAGTCACCCCAGGACTAAAGGAGACATGAAGACCACCCAGGTCTGCATGCACTAAGACACCCGGAGCCCAGGAGAGCTAAGGGAAGTACAGGCCTTGCTGGCACAGGGAGCTCCGGTTCCTAGAGGAACCTCTTCTCTTCTGTTAGTCAGTGCTTGCTTCGGCATCTCTGGCTCTTGATTGAATATGTCCTCTAGAGACAGTGCTTCTATCAGCTGGGTCTCAAAATTGAAATCTAACAGTCCCTCTCTTTAAGTGCATTTCATTACAAGGAGCTGCCTTCTTCCTCTCCGATTCTCAAAGGCTCTGGGGAGGGATAAGAAAGAGAAGTGAGGACTTCAGCACCTGAGGTTGTGTTTTTTAAGTAATGTCTCTAAGCCCTCGTCCGGTTTTATCAACAAAAATCGGGCAATTCTTCACAGGGTGGAGATAAGGGCTTATGCCTGTGGCCGGTAAAGCGTCTCCAGTGGCCTCACCCTTCCAGGCTTTAGCACCAACCGCAGCTGTACTAAGCCAGGGCTGGACAAAAGGTGATAGGACGGAAGACTGTTGGACCGAGATAAGAATGACCGTAAAACGAGTCTTTCTGCCGCAGGCATGTGTATTAAAGGGAGTAGGAAACTCATCTGTTACTGTCTTAGAAAACTGGCTTGACGGTGATGTAATGGAAAGAGATTTTAGGTCATCAAACAAGAAAAATCTAGAGTGAGGCCTGTGATCCTCCCCAACTCCTGCTTGAGATCTGTCACCACGCTGACTCTTTAATGATCTGTAATTTGCAACACAGGGGGTTTGGATTACCTGTCTCTGCCCATTACACACAATGATCATTTCTGTTACTATATTTCTGAGCAGAACTAATGAAGCAAATGTTAAATAAAGAAAAGACACAAACCTCAATGCCAAGACTGATCCTAAATACCATTGTCTAAACCCATTAGTTTTAAAATCACAGACACACAGAGAGAACAGAGAAGGGGGATGGAGGAAGGGAGTGTGTGTGTGTGTGTGTGTGAGAGAGAGAGAGAGAGAGAGAGAGAGAGAGAGAGAGAGAGAGAGAGAGAGAGAGAGAGATTGAGATTTGAATTACTATATCTGGTTTTTGTGACTATACAACTTAAGCACTGCCATATTAAAATATGCTGACCAACCTAAAATTCTGGAGAAATGGACAGAGAAACCTCTTTAAAGATGATTTAATGACCTCAAGTTCAAGGACTTGCTTCTCTTTGAACTTTAAGCTACAGAGACATGGACTGCAAGTATGAAGACTTTTATCGCATCCATAACTCACATAGTGAGGAGTAGACACAGAAGAATGAATAATGTGAGAGAGAAAAAAAATCAAAGAACCAGAATTGTATTGTTTTTTTTCAAGAGTCTAAGTTATATCAACATTTCTGCAATATTTAGGAAAGTGAGAAAACATATTCATGTTTCCCAAATTATTAGTGTGAGCATATACCCCCTACTTAAAACCTTCCAGTGGCTGAACACAGCTGTTAGCACAAATCCAGTTGTCTCTCCATGGCTAACAAGTCCATGTAAATAAGACCTTCCACTCACTGTATACCACTCTCCCCTGCTCTTGTGAATCCTACACACCTGAGAATATTGTCAAAGCATTGAATAACATCTAAGGCCAACAAGATGTCTCAGTGGCAGAAGAAGCTTTTCACTAAGTCTGATGGCCTGAGTTTGATCCTCAGAACCCACATGGTGGAAGAAGATTGACTTCAGCAAGTCTTATGACCTACACATGTGCCATGGCACAAATACTTGTACACACAACAGATGGATAGATAGATAATCGATAAATGATAGACAGATAGATAGATAGATAGATACATACATACATACATAAATGGATAGATCAATATAGATAGACAGATAGACAGAGAGATGGATAGGTAAAATATTTTTTAGAGAAAAAAATACTACACCTAGTCTTTCTCATCTCCAGCTGTGCTGTCCCTTTGGTTTGGAGGTCTCTTCCCTTCCCAACTCTACATTTTTACAACTAGCTCTTTTCCCATGAAGTCTCAACAAAAATGATACTTCTTCCTCAAAAACATTTTGTGTTACCCAAATTTGGTCAAATGCTATGTCTACTCTGATTATTTATTTTCATGTTTTATTATCCCATCCTCATCCTGGCTTCCTCCATAAGCCTTAAATAGAACAGTTCTATGCATTTATTTCTCTCTCTCTCTGTCTCTCTCTCTCTCTCTCTCTCTCTCTCTCTCTCTTTCTCTCTCTGTGAGAAAGAGATTCTTACCTTAGAATATTCCAAGAAGACAGTGACCTTTTTTTTCTCCTTTTCTATCTTGCTCAACATTGTATCTCTAGCTATTAGCAGCACAATGCCATGACAATGTTGATTTTTAATGTTAAAGACTGACTTTAAAGGTAATTTCAAGACTACTATTTCCTCCCACATCCCATCTCTGAGGGAGCATTTTTAAAATTATCTTTGCAAGCATCCTCTGACCCATGTGTTTGCAGACTACTCTTGGAGCAGTGAGTTGCTGACATCTCTAGAAGGGTCAAATGAGCAGCTATGTGGTTGGTTGAGCCATTTAAGTACAACCCATTTGTAAGTCATTTTGGTGAGTGTAAATTGTACACTTAAAAGGAGCACTCCCTTTTGGAAATCTGGCTCATTAGCAACTTTGGGGGCTAATGGGGTGTGATCAGAGTATCAGGGACCTTCCCTGAGGCAGTGAAGATTTAGGCCCCTGTGAAGTAAGAAATCCCAAGTTGCTAGTATCAATCTCCCCATCCTAACCCCATTATATCCAGACACACGCAGAAAGAGATACATAGAAATAGATAGATGATAGATTAGATAGATAGATGCCAGCTACATTAAACAGATAGATATAGATTAGATAGTTACATAGATAGAGCCATGCACAGACACATAAATGCACACAAATATTCATATATACACAGATACACACATACAGAGAGAGAGAGAGAGAGAGAGAGAGAGAGAGAGAGAGAGAGAGACCATTTAGCTACAGAGGTACACTGCCTGAGAACGGCACCTTACCTGCTGGGCTCAGACAGCTACAGACCATTCTTTCAACTTATGGAACACTTTGTTGCTTATTTGGATAATAAAGAGCAACCTAAATACCAACCACATCAAGTACTCAGTGCCAGATGCATGCTGTCAGCTGTCAAAAAAGAAAAAAAGAAACACAATCATAAAAGCCTCATTATTATTAACAGGAGCCTCTCTCCCACACACACACATACACAGTCAGGCCTTATTTTCTACACGCTGGTAAGTTTGGTTGGGTTCATCTTCACTTCTTTGACAGTTGTTTCTCTTGTTTAAAGAGTTTCAGAAACATGGACTGTATGGAGATGATGAACAGGGTCCTTAGGAATTTAGCTGGAGAGGCAATGGCTCCTTCTGTCAGTTTTCATCAGAACCCTCAGCTGTTCTTTGGGCTCTGTGAGCTTTGCTTTGAGAAGAGCAGGAAGGGTCAGTGGGAATTCAAGTCTCATCAAGTCACCCCTAATCGTAAAGAAGACACACTTTAGATTTTGAACAGCTAACGAGTGTTTTGGCACTTCTCTCAGTTGCGTGTGAGGCAGGTTGTGTTTGTTGACGATGTAATAACCGCACAAAGGTACTTCAGGTGTCCAATTGAAACTTTACAGGATTGATGGGTTTTCAAGTATACTCAGTGCTCTCAGAAAAGTTTAACACGGCTAAAAACTAAAATAAAGTGTTAGTGTAATTACAGCCTTGAAATGGCATCCAACAGAGTTTCCAGCAATGTTAGTGCATCAACAGAGAAGCAAACTGACAGTCTAATTGGGGGACAGACATATTCCTTAAAAGTTCAAAGACTATAAAGGGAAGAGCTCATAAGTAAATACAGATCCCCTCCATTCTGCAACTTTACAGTGGTATTTAGTTGAATCTAAGAAAAATAAATCAAAGCTTATTAGTCTGTAATCCAACACTCACCACAGTCCTCTTACCCCCTTCTTTGTTTCCCATTCCCTTTGTTTCAACTTTTTATTCTGCCCCAAGTACTCAAACTGCCTGTCCTGTTAGTGGAAATTTACTGCCCTATGTGGTTTTCAAAAATCTGTCTATGGCCATACCACCCTGAATGTGCCCGCTCTCATCAAAAATATGAATGTGCATGCACACACACACACACACACACACACATGCATGCTCACATATGACTCAGTATATGTATGCATGCATGTATGTATGTAAGCCAGAAGACATCTATATGGAGTTGGTTCTCCCCATTATACATGGAGCCATCACAGCTCTCTGGTAACAATCATTTGAGCTCAGAGGAAGCATTTGTTTCTTGTTACCCTTATCTATATCTTAATTCCATCCTGATGTTTGTTATAATATGGCCTGACACCATTTCTCTACTGCAGAATATAAGGGATACAATGGCAGAGACTTTGCAAAATTTTGTTTCTGATACATTCAATCATGTCTAAGTATCTGTAGAATTTTGTTCCAAGACCTATGTGCACAACACAGTCTATAGATCTTCAAGTTCTTTACATAAGAGACCCCTGTTTTTGCTTTTAGCCTGTGCATGTTAATCATCCAATATACTTTAAATAGCCTGAAGATTACTTACAACATGTACACAGCACAATGTAAAATTGCATACAAACAGATGTTATGCCCCATTATCTATGGAACAACAAGAAAAAGTCTGCACACAGTCACTACAGATTTCACTGTTTTGAATGGTGTTTGAATTTTCAGGGAATTAAGCCTATGGATACACAGTGTTGGAGGCATGTAGAACCTGTGTCTATTACACTGTGTGTTTAATAGTCTGTAGTGCCAAAAACTGTGAATGCTGGAAGAGGGGGAGGAGAGCAGGAGAAGGAAAGGGAAGGAAGAGAAGGAATAAAGGATGGAAGAAGACATTGAAAAGAGGAGATAGAGGGGAAAGAAATAGATATAAGTGATAGGGGAAGAAGAAAAAGTGAAGAGAGGAGAATGAAAGGATAGAGAGGAGAGCAGAGAGGTGAAGAGCATGGGGAGGGAGGGAGAAAAAGGGGAGAGAGAGAGACAGAGAGAGAGAGAGGGAGAGAGAGACAGACAGAGACAGAGAGGAGGGGGGAGAAAAGGGAAATAAGGAAGAATTAGAGAAACAGAGGAGAAAGCACTGTTGAAAACTGTCAGCACAGATGATAAAACTACAGACGAGCCAGAAAATGCCCTCTATGCTTCTGAGAAGGCACTGTCTGTGGGAAGAAGGCAGTGTATGACAGCACATGCTGGCAGCAGAACTGTACAGAAGCCTCTAGACTAATGCCAACCTTCTGTTTAGAGCACAAGATTTGTTCAGTACAGTTTTACAAGGATACTTTACATTTTAAACTATACTTAAGGTACTTAAATGTGTGTACACTGCTTGGCAGTAAAATGTTGGAGTTGGACTTCCTGCTCCTATAGGCAGACTTTGACACTGACAAGTTCATCTATTCTGCGGTTGTGGTGGCTTGAATGAAAACATTCCTCCCTAGACCTTAGCATCTGAACACTTGGTTCCCAGTTAGTGGCCCCATTTGGAGGAGTTCTAGGAGACATGAGCTTTCTGGATGAAGCGTGTCACTGGGGCAGACTTTGAGGTTTCAGAGCTTCACACTCATCCCCATTCACATTCTCTGCTTTGTGCTTTCAGTTCAGTATGAGAGCCCTCTGTCTCCTGCTCCTGCTGCTATGCTTCTGCCCTGACATTATGGGCTCTAACTCTCTGGAGCCATAAGCCCAAATACACTCTTTCTCTTAGAACTTGCCTAGTCCATGGTGAACCATGTCCTGCATAACTCCAGTGATAGTTCTGACTAGGGCATGAAGGGAATCAGAAAAGCTGGAATATGGTGTACTGGGCTCTCTGATGGAGAAGTTGCAATACCCTAGAAGCTCAGTGTGTTTATTATACACAGTTGAATAGGGAGGCAGAATTATTGCCAACAGGTGAACAGGAGGCAGGGTTATTGTATATAGATAAACAAGAAGGCAGGTGTAGCTCATCTGTGTAGGGAGAAGTCTTCAAGAAGTAAACATCTGTAGGAAGAAAAGTATGGTGGACATTATCTGCACACATGGTTGACATCTTTTCTAAAGCTTTTCCATTCCTCTGGGCCTCACGTGGGAAAGAGGCTTTGCCATTTATCCATGGAGCTGAAGGTTTGGTCCTTGACTTGGCCATCTCATGTCAAGGACACACTCAGAACTCCACACACCCAGAGATTCCTCCACTCCTCACACTGATGGTTTATCAGATCCACAAAGAAAAAAAACGTAATCAATACGTGAACTTTCCCCTCATCACTCACAGCCCACTTCTTGTCTTGGAAATATAGTGAGAATATGCTACCAACTTCATGGACTGTCCTGAGAATTAAATGAGATAATATAGGTAAGTCACTTAGTAAAGTGTCTGGCAGACAATGGACATCCATTATTGGAGTCTGTTCCTACTAATTTTCTCGGATTTTATATCCCAAATTGCATTTGTTTGAATCATATCTTGAGCGTATTCTCTACATGAAAGGCAAAAGAAATGAAGCATTACTGCTTAAAATGCATATCCATAGTGCTGATATTTAAGTAGACATGACTCCATAACAGTGATCAACCCAATGGGCAAGCTCTGCTTCCCAACAACGCATGAGAGAATTTCCAGTGCCTTTGGACTCAGAGATGCAGAAGTGCACATAATGTAGTATCTTCGAAAGAAGAATCATTTAGGAGATATTGACCTCAGTCTAATTTGGAGAAATTGTGCTAATATGACAGTTGCATGATTATTAAGACTTTTTCTCAGTATCTATTCCATGTAAAATCATAAAATGAAAGATATATTCCAACATGGCTACTCTGTAAATAAGATATTTATATGTATGAAGGATCTAGACCATGTCTTACCTTAGGACCTTTGGAGATGTCAACTCATTAGATATTTAGAGGTATTAAGAGAGAGAAGTGTACGGGGTAGAGTTTAAAGCACATATAAACACATCTGAATCACGGCATACACTAGCTTCTGAAGGTAGCAGCTGTAGTGAAGCACCACAACAACAGCTTTAAAACACATGTTATATCATAGTTCTAGCGCCCTAAAATTCAAGATCATGGTTGTCTCCAGGGCTGGTTTCCAGTGAGAGCCATTTGGAAGGATTGTCCATCCCTCTCCCCAGGCTTCTGATGACTGCTCCTTAGCTTGAAGGCTCCTTAACTTTGCCTTCATATATGTGTCCCCCTTGTGGCATGTTCATATCTACCTTTCCTATTTTCATAAGGATAGCAAATATATTAGGTTAAGGACCAGCCCAATCTCACACAAACTTTAGCAACTGCTTGTGCAAAGACCCGGTTTCCAAAATCTTGCTGCTGTTCTCCAAATCAATGTAGCAACGGAACGTTGCTCATTTTCTTGCATTATCTGTAACAACCATGTCTTATTCAGATCTCAATTGGCTTTGAGTGGATGCACATAATAGAAAGCATGTTTCCAACCATATTTTAATGGTGTGCCCTTCCCCAAGCCAATGATGAAAATGAAAATAATAAAATAAATTAAGCTTCAAGAACTTCCCAAACCACTTCATCTCCTGTCGGATTAGAGAGCCCTCATCATTCTCAACACCCGCAAGCATTGCTGAATTTAACAATCTTGCCTCTACAATCTCAAATGAAAAACAGGTTGTTGGGTTTTTTAATATACAGTTTAGAATTAATAACCTATACTAGATTCTCTTACAGAGTAGGAGAGGATGAGACACAAAACCAAATGCTTATTTGTTCACTCTGCTGAAAATGTCTGATGTGAGAAGAAACTGGTTTCCACAGAAAATATTGGCTTTCCCATTAGCCATCTGCTGGAATTGAGGGAATAGTCTGTATGGCTTTCTCAGCTGGAACATTTGGAAAACAAGAACATTGTTGTGAAAGCTCACATCCATGGCCATAATGTTTGTGAAAATGTTGTTGACTTACCAGATGTCCTAGAAATTCCTGGGGCAGACGTGCTTCTAGCTTTTCATAGCTGCTCTGTCCTGTTGTAGACTGGTGTTTGGGATTGGTGATTGTCTATGTCTTGTGCTTGACTGTGGCATTTCTCATCGATCATTCACTCTGTAGCGTATAGCAAGATGCAAAGAGATACCATGGAACTGCTCTGTAATAGCAAGCTGTATACTGGTCCCAGGTACGCAAAATATGTGTTACTTCCCATTTCTTCAAAAATAATTCATTCTATTCAACCCCAGGTGTATGCACCCATCTGTATGTGAAATGCCATATCACAACCTTCCTTGTTCTTGTCTCCATCAGGGCTGGGTGGAAGCAACAAAGTCTCACCTCTGAGTGCTCTGTTCACTCATCACACCTGAGGAGTTTGTTTGAAATGGGAATAACCTCTGTTTTCAGGCCGGATCTTCTCTTTTGAAATGAGATTAATGGAGTCGTGAATAAACTGAAGCAGACTCTAACTTTGGAATGCAAATAGAGTAGAGTGCTTCTCTCACAGGTTCTATCCTCTAGCTTGCTTTTCTTCCTGCTTTCATGTAAATCAGCAGAATCTGCACAGCATGAAAACTTGACTCTAACTGGAAAACCGTCCTATGACCCCAGAGATTCCGGGAGGCAGACCCTACACATTCTTGTTAAACTGTATTTCAAGACTCACTTCCTGTCCTTTACCCTGTCAGGAGGATATGATGTACACAGGTTTATTTCCGCAAACCTTTTTTTGGGGGGAGGGGAGCTGCTCTTTTTAAAAACAAATTAGAAACAATCTTGTTTTACATATCAATCCCAGTTCCCTCTTCCTCCCATCCTCCCATGCTCCCTACCAACTCCCCCATCCCATTCCTCTTCTGTATAAAGAAAGGGTGAGGCCTTCCATGGGAGATCTTCAAAGTCTGTCCCATCATCTAGACCCTCCCCAGGCTGAGAGAGTATCCTCTGGGGAGTGGGCTCCCAATGTCCATTTGTACACTAGGGGTAAATACTGTTCCACTGTCAGAGGCCCCACAGACTGGCCAGGTCTTTTTTAAAGGATTTCATGTATTTGAGGCCCCATTCTGCCACCACTCCCTGTGGTGTCAGAGCAAAGGTGTGGCCAGATTGTTGCTTTGTCACATGATCTGGGTTCTGTGATTGTCTTATGTGACTGACAAGGATGCTCCAACATTCCTTTGGTTTCTTGAGTCTTGTTGCTTAGATACATAGAAAAGCCAATGACCTCTCTACAGGATGTCTTCAGAGACCCACAGCCTTTCTCTCACTTGGCTTTTCCAAAGCAGAGTCTCTACCTAGAAAATGATTTAATTCCCTTTCCTTCAGGTCTAACAAGCCACTCTTAGTTTACAACCACTGATATTCAGTCTTCTAGCCAACAAAGCCTAGGCCTCTGTCTCCTGGGCCCTCTGAGTTTTATGCCCCCCCCCATTAATTTATTTTCCTTTCCTTCCATTTTATTTAAAGGAACCACATTTGAGCGACTTAAACTTGCATTTGGGTTTGTTTGCTTGTTTTGTCCATCCTAACCCAAAAAGCAAAATTACAAAGCAAATTTTCTATTTCAAAGAAGTAATGAAAATGAGGAAGGAAAAAGAGAAAATAAGAGATTTAAAACTAAGCCACCACCTAACTAATCATAACAGAGAAGTCAACAGAAGAGAGTGCCCACATCTTTGATTGCTAACTATATCAGAAAGTTTATGATGTCCAAAGGAATGTACTCCAACTACCTTTTCGAAAAACATATCCAAATGACACTCCAGGTTCATAGTAGTCACTGTACCATTCTAATAAAGAGTTGTCAAGAGTCAATCTATGATTAAATAAATGAACAGATCCAAATTATTGCCAGGATAAACATCAAACACTGTATCATTGTCCTTTGATGCTAGCCAATCACCCTGGGGAAATTTCACAACTCTATATTATGTATGTCCAGCCCTGCCCTGTGCATATGGGATCATAATCTCTACTAGTAAGCACCACACTAGTGTGTGTTTGTAAGCTCCTTAACTGCTCACACACTGGAAGTTCATTGCTCGACTTACCTTTCCTATTTACGTTATGATTCCTACCGTGGCCATGGCCTTCAGCAAAACAGAAGTGGTTTGAAATTCTTCCCCTGATCTTTGTTAACCATCCTTTTTACCATACCCCACAGAATCTCTGCTTCAGAACCATTCTAGACTGCCTACAAAATGTTCTGCTCCAACTTGGTTCAGTGTTGAAGAGAACATATTGTGCTCACATGAAATTTTATCCAAATCATTTTCCTCTCCAACTGAGCAGTGTTTAACCTTTGTCCTAATTTCCACAGAGAATGACCCCATAGACTTTGAAGCCTACCTTAACCACTTGATTGATACGCGTCAAACAACACGTTTAGGAGCTGGCATTCCATCCTAGAGTGACATTTAAAAAGCTCTCAAGTATAATTACTGTGGATAACCATTGATCACTCCTGGGATGCTCCTGGGACAGTGGACATTGGGGTATGCCATCCATCTCAAATCTCGTGGTAATATTATGGCTGACTGCCTTCCCCTCTTTATCACCGGCTGATGGGGCTGATGGAGATCGGCTGCAGCACTTTCAATACATCTCCCATTCTCTCACCTGCTCTGCTTGACTACTGAACTGAGCCATGTTGTGACAGTCTGCCTGCTCTTCCCTGTTCAGATTAATGAATACAGCTTTAGCTGTTAATTCAAAACTAGTCAAGCTTATATCCAACAATTAGAGACCAATTTTCATATTCAGCATGAATGTATCAGAGGAAGGGTGTGGGGAGAGGAATGCAATTTGGTGTGATCTGTTAACTCCAGGGGGAACACAAAGAAGGAAGAGTCAGGGAGCCTGAAGATAGCACCTGAAACTCTCATTGGGTCTAGCTGCAATGAAATGTTTCAAGCCTCAACATCTTTCCAAGCTACAAGAAAGTGTCCCTGGGGGGTTGAGCTTTCTGCCCTGTAGCTAGACTGCAATCCATCAAAAATAACAAGCACATGGCAGGCCCCTGTGCTCTTCTGCCTTCTAGGAGGGTCAGTAGCTAAGCCAGCATTTGAAGAGGCTCCAGAGTCGGAACCCAATGTTCCTCCTTCTCCTTTCTTCCATCCGCAATAAGAAATGAAATGTTTACTTGTACACAGAATTATAGAACTGACCTCATGTGCCCCAGATCAAGATCATCCAGGGCAATGGAAATTTTGTGCTTCATTCTCAGCCCTGTCATGCCCTCTCTGACTTTAAAGTGAAAGCTACAAATGCCTTGTCTCAAATGGAAAAGCTATACAAGGACCTCCAGATGCCAAGTACTGTCTAAATGAACTCTTACCAGAATTTATATTTACAGACAAGGGAAAGAAGCTGCCCAGGGGATTTCTTCCCCTGGCTACTGGTGACAAAGGGAAATTAGTGCCCATCCCAGGTAGGCAGTACCCATGCCCCAGAATTAAAATTTCCTCCATAGTCATTTGGCTGGTCTTATTTTTAAACCATGGAGTCCATGGGCAGAGAACAACACACATCAGTCGGCACAAATGTTGGCAGTATTTAATGAAGATTGACCTTGAATTTTCTTTTGTGCTTGCCCTAGTACTTACGAATTGTCTTTAGCTCAGCTGTGCAAAGAAAGAAATGGAAGTATCCTCCAAGTGTGCAAATGAGGGACTTGAGGAGATGACAGTGGTGGTGGTGGTGGTGAGTCTTTGTTGAATATCTCCACACAGGAGATTAAGAAAAACATGAGGGGGCTCAGAGCTATAGCACATGAAGTGGCCATTTCTCTTGTTCTCTCATCTCAGGCTCCCGAAGCGTGTGTGTAATATGTTACTTTTCTCATTGCCCTTGTGAAACAGCCAACAGAAAGCAGATAAGAGGGGAAGGATTTATTTCTGTTTACAGATTGAGAGAGGACAGTGCATCATGGCTGGAAAGGCCTGGTGGGGGCTGTGTGTGCATCTAGATAAACCAAAGGCAGAGGTGAGTATGCCATACACATGCTTCAGGCTTTGCCCTTCCTGGCACCTTCTACTCAGTTTGGGCTCAAGACCCTGGGGATGGTGTCACTCACATTTAGGTGGAACTTTTCTCCTCAGTTCCTGAAAGACTAACCAGAAATGTATCTCAGTCAAGTTGATGATAAAGATTAACCATCACCCTCTCCAGTGTTTTTAAAAGATGTCTGTTGTTGTTCTAACATGCAGAGTTGATGCTAGGAATGAATGAAGTAAATGTAAATCATGCAGTATAGTTTGCAGTACACTGAATTGAATAATGATACAGTAGAAAATACATCAATACTGGTTCCTGTCTTCCTGGAAGTTTATATCTAACTGGGGCCATATATTTTGAAAACATGAATAAATAAATGGATGTTTACTGAGTAAATGCTATGTGACAGAAGGTGGAAATAGAGTTTACATTCATAAAAAATAATGAGGAATGATTACTGGCCCAATAATGTGGGCCTATATTCCTCGCTGCTTAGGATGGTTAGGCAGAAAGATCACAAGTTCAATGCCAACCAGAACTAAAATGTGAGTTCAAGGCTAGCCTAGATAATTTAATGATCCCCTCGCTGTCTTAAAAAGAAAAAGAAAAAGAGAGTTTTGGGCTATAGATCAGCAGCAGAGCACTTGGCTAGTTAGAATGTCACCAGAGTTCATTCCCAATACTAGGAGACTGGAAGAAAAAGAAAAGAAATAGGAACAAAGGGCTATTGTGGCTCATGTAGTCTAAGAAAGCCACTCTGGGGAGATAATGTTAATCTGGGATCAGAGAAGGCTGCAGAAGGCTTTCCATGCACAGTGGATACGAATCACAAGTCCTATGAGACGGAAATAGAGATGACCGCTGGAACAAGAGTAAGACCTAGGTGAGCTGAGACCAGATCATTCTGATCATACTCCAAATTCATGCCATTCAAATCTGGTCCAGACATGTTCTAGAAACTTGGTATATGAGCAGAACCTCAGATGTCATCCCAGTCCACCAAATGAGAGCTCACTCTTTGACAAGATCACTGTAACCCTTTGCATCTCTGAGATTAAGAGGCCACTGAAAAGTATAAGCAGGATGGTGTGCCTCCCTTTTTGTTTTTAAAGGATTCT